AAGGTCGGCTAATGTCACCACCAGCCGGGCGCGGAGCCCAGGCGAGTCAGACCCTCAGCCTTGAAGCCGCAAAGTCGCTGTCATCACCACCATGCATCACAGCTATCGACGAACGAATTCAGCTCAAAGCTCAAAAGTGATTTTTTAAAGATGTATTTATTTATTTATTTGAAAGGCAGTTTTGCAGAAAGAGAGAAAGTCAGAGAGATCTTCCATTTGCTGCTTCACTCCCTAAATGATCACAACAGCCAGGGCTGGGCCAGGCTGAAGCCAGGAGCTAGGAGCTTCTTCCCAGCCTCCCACGTGGGTGCAGGGGCCCCGGGACTTGGGCCATCCTCTGCTGCTCTCCTAGGCGCATCAGCAGGGAGCTGGATCACAAAGTGGAGCAGCCGGGACTCGAACCGGCGCTCATATGGGAATGCTGGTTTTGCAGGTGGCAGCTTACCCAGCTGCACCACACCACCAGCCCTCAAAAGGGGTTTTTCTGCAATAGGATTATAAAAGTCTGCCTGGCGTCCAGAGAGAACCTCAAATCAATGTGCACGTATGCTCAAACGGAACCTGCTTTTGCCCTTGAGAAAACCCTCGTCCTGGTGGACCAACTGTGCCTGGGACCTGCCCCTCTGCCCCGCTCGGCAGGGCCACCTTCCCCCTTTCAATACTCAATTAGCCAGCGCTGCTGTACACGGCTCCATTCGTCATCACGGCGCAGACGACGTGCAGTCCGCGTGTTCCATCTTTCTCGCCTGCTTATCCCAAAGAGAACTCTTGGCGTGTTTGCTGAAGCCCGGAGACAAACGGTTATCTGCGTGCGTAGCAAACTGTCCTCTGAGGCGGCCCCTCTGGCTTCCCGGCTAAGAACTCAGAATAAACATCGCTGCTTGTGGAGATCACGAGTAAGCAGGCCCCAGGAGGCTGCAATTATCCCCGTTTATAGTCTCCTCCCTCTCAAACTAACCCTTGATTCATAAATGTGCACTTTCAGGCGTGAGGCGTTAGAATAAATTAGACGATACAATTACATGTAATTAAAGGGGAAAATGGGCACCGGGCTGCAAAGATGAGCTTGTGTTTTGCTGAAGCCAAGCACGCCTCTGTCTGTACGCCGGCCTCGGGAGGTGGCACGGAGTACAATTAACGTCCTTCCAACTTCAGGAGGGTTCGCACTGCTGTTTTTCATTATCACAGAGCTCCGAGAAATACAAGCACGGTTTCTCCGGTGCAGTCGTGTTTCTACACGCACGACAGCTCGGGTCGGAGGGACCCTTCACAGCACCAGCCGCCAATGGAAATTGTTACGGATGATACTGGAATCTGGATTTTCAAGCCCATGCAACACCGTCTCCACGCGGGAGCTGTTAGGTCCCAGCCCCCGCCCACCAAGAGGGGCAGCGGCCTGCGCCGGGGAGAAGCGAGTTCCAGCCGAACTCGGGTTATTAAAGCCACCTGTGCCCCCGTTCTGGGCTCGCATTCCCCAGCCCCCGCCCGCAGCCGTGTCCCGGCCTGTAACGGTTCTCCTCTCCACGCCAGCTTGTTGGAGGCATGTTAAAAGCTCGGCTTTTACAGCCCTCATAAAACCCCATCTCCTGCAGCCCGAGTCCAACCAGAAGAGCTCGGACAGCAGAGCGGGTTCCAGCCTCTCCACCAAGACACGCGAGCACCAAGCAAGAGCAATCCTGTTTTGCTTTTGAAAGTTATTGTTGTGAGTTGAGGAGATGGGGCAGCCCCTCCGGCCAAGTGTGCCAGGCACTGAGGAGCAGCCGGGTGCCCGCACCAGGGGGCCACCCACGGGGCCGCAGGGGGAGGAAACAAGGGGTGCGCAGGTGCCAGGAGAAAGGTCGCCACAGGGGCAAATGACCCCAGGGGAGGGAGGGGCAGCAGCAGGAGCCCAGGAGGCCATCTGTCCAGCAGGTTGGTCCCTAGGGGAGGCTTCAGGGGCAGGGCAGGGGCCTGGGAGGAGAAAGGCAGCCCGGGCGGTGTGGTGGGGGCCGCAGGGGCTGTGGGGTCAGGAGAATTGAGGGTCCCCGGGGTGCTGCTGAGCCCCCAAGGCCTGGGCTGCACTGGGGCTGTCCTGCGGCGCCTGCTGACAGCCGCTTCCCAGCCTGGGGACATCTCAGCCGCTGAGCCCCCTCCCCCCACCAGTGGGGCTCCCTGTCTGCAAGGGGCCTGGACAACAGGCTGAGGCTGTGGACTCATAGGACCGTGGAGGCTGCTGGGAATCTGGGGGAAGAAACATGGGCAGAGGGTGCAGACCCTTGGACATCCCAGGTGTTGGAGCCGGGGCCTGAAGTCCACAGGGAATGCCTACATGTGTGTGAGCACACTCAGGCATGCGCACACACAGATCCCTCCCCCTTCCTGAAGGAAGCGTAAGGTGCAAAACACAGCACCATACGTTCTTTCAACAGCAACAGTGCAAAGAATGACAATGCCCAGTCAGCCCAGCCACCGCGGGGGGACACCGGGCAGCCCCTCCATCCCCAGGTGAAGACGGAAGGCGTGGCAGAGAGCTGTGGGCAGGCTCCGGGCGGGCAGGGGAGAGCCACATTCCTTACTGAGCTCTGCAATGCAGGGTGTGGCTTTTGAGCTTTTTGGTGGTGGAAATCCCCCTGCCCCTGAAACTTGCTCCGGAATCCACATCAAAAGCAAGCAAGAGGGGTGGGCTTTTGGGAGAGTGAGTCAGGCGCGTGGGGACAAGGGAGTGCCCGGGCTCAGCGCTCCCTTCCGGCTTCCGACTCCGGCTTCCTGCTGATGTGCACCCGCTGAGGCAGTGGTGAGGGCCACTCACGTGGGCGAGCTGGACTGAGTTCCCAGTTTCTGGCGTCCACCTGGCCCAGCTGGCAGGCACTTGGGGGGTGAACCAGCAGATGGACTCTCTCGCGCTCAGAAAACAAAAGGCAGGCAAGAGACAGATTGCACCCCTGGGCCTCCCTCTGCCAGCCCAGGCTCCTAAGGTGCCCCCATGGGGTTCTGAGGACCCAGCTAGAAAACCGAGAGGCTCTGGGGTGCATCCCAAAGCCAGGCACAGCCTCTGATGGGAAGGAGCTGCACTTGCCGACTTCGGGACCCTGGGCAGGTCCTTCACCTCCCGAGTTCCATTTTGAAACTGTTGAAAGGATTACTCGTGATGTCCTGCTGGAAACACTGTACACACACGAGCCCGGCCCTAGCTGAGCCGCCCTGTCCAGCGTGGGAACCCACAGCCAACGGAGCTGGCGGCAGTGCGGGACACACGCCAGATCCCAAAGATTAGCAAGGAAAAAGAGAAGGAACGAAAGGGTATGTCATGGATCATTTTTATATTGAACACATGTGGAAGAGGTAGTATTTTGGATATATGAGGTTAAATAAACTACATCACTGAAAGTAATTTTACCGGCTCCCTCTTCCCCATAAAAGCACTACTAAGAAAATTTAAATGACACTCATCTGGGCACGGCCGTTCCCACCTAGGGCAGGCATCTCAGCAAATATCCCGAACATACTGCATACATCGTCCCTGGTGCCCGGGGCAGGCAGCGGGGGCGGGGTCTCCACCATTTCCTGGTCCATGGGGGTGTAGACAACAGACCCCGGGGGCAGATCCGCCACTCAGCAGGGCCAGCGCCTGCTTTGCCAAAGCAAGTCCAAGCTTTGCTGATTTATGTGGGCTGCAACTTAATCTGGGGTGGATAAGGGAGATTGTGGGGAGAGGAGAAGCAGCTAGCGCGAGGCCTGTTTGAATCTCAGCCAAACAAGGAATTTCTCCGGCTCAGTCAATCCCTAGGGATGCTCCACACCTTATTTAGGAATTCCCACAAACCTAGCCAGAAACAGGAAGGACAAACCAGTGAAAGGCGCAGCCCCGGCGAAGGCCACTTGCTGCGCCTCCGTGCCTCGGTTTCCACATCTGTACAATGGGCCTCACAAGACTCCTTGCTGTAGATTTAAATCCATTCATTTTCTACCGCAGGGTCTGTTTTCGCCCAGCAGCCACGGGTCTCCCTGCCTGCCCCAGTCGGCCCCGGCCCCCTCCGGCCCCCCGGCGGCGCTGGGGCGGTGGAATCCCGGTCGACAGCGCCACAGCGCCGCCCGGAGTCGAGCTCCGCACTTTGGGAAGCACGCCGGCTTCTCCGAGGCCCTTTCTGGGCAAACGCGGCGGCTTTCCCCGGAGCGCCCGTGAATGTCTCGGGAGCTTCGGCGGCGCGTGGGCAGGTCCCGCTGAGACCCGGGCCGGCGCGCGTTTGCAGAATGAGCAGAGCAAACATCTATTAAGGTGTCGTCTCGAGGGGCCATTCCGGCCGGGCTGTCGCACGCCCAGCGGGACGCGCGGCCCCGGGCAGCCCCGAGCGAGGACAAACAGAAAGCGCAAAGCAGGCAAGGCTCGCTTCTCTGCGGCCGCGGGGACCCCCGCTCCCAGGACTCCGCCACGATACGCGGTCGATCGATCGATCGATCGATTGATTGAAATGCCCCGCTCCCGCGCGCTACGCGCTCTCGGGCTCCGGCCCCGCTCCCGGGCGAATCTGCCCCAACTCTCGGCCGAGGGCGAGCGGCAGCGAGTGGGTCCCCGCGAGGGTGCGCGCTCGGCGCCGGGAGCGCGGCCAGCGGGGTCCGGAGGCCACCGGAGCTCGAGAGCCGCGGGGACCCCCGCCCCCGGCCCGGGCCCCGACTTCGGGGCGAGGCCTTGCGCCCGGGGCTGCAGGGCCCGCGCCCTCCGAGCCGCAGGTAAAGCGCCCGCTGGCGGGTCGGGGCCGCCCAGCGCTGCCCGCCCCGGCGCGCGCCCGCCTCCCCCGCGCCGAGGCCGGAGGCCGGCGGGCCGGGGGCCCGGCCGCGCGGTGCCAAGGCGCTGGCTCCGGCCGCGAGGTCGGCGGGGCTGGGCGATGTAAGAACCGCCCGGGCGGGGCGCGGACCCGGACTTTGGCGAGGGCGGCGCGCCGGGGCGGGGGCCGGGGGCGGCGGCGGCGGCGGGGCCGGGGGGCGGGGAGGAGGAGGAGGGTGGAGGCGGGAGGAGGAGCAGCCGCCGCGCTCGCCGGGGGATGCAGCAGCAGCGGCGGCGGCGGCGGCGGCGGCGGCGGCAGCAGCAGCAGCGGCGCGGAGTCCCCTGCGCCCCGCGGCCCGGCCGGGCTGCGGCAGAGGCGGCAGCGCCGCGCGCCGGGTGAGGCCGCCCGGGCCGTGCGCGCCGGTGAGTGGGGCGCGCGGGGCAGGTGGGCGGGCCGGGGGACGCCAGGTTTGGGCCGGGATTCCCGGCGATCCAAGCCTCACCCGCGGTGAGCACGACCGCGAGCCTTGTCCAGGTGAAACGGGACCGGTCCGGACCGCCCGGCTCCGGCTCTGGCTCTGGCTCTGGCTCTGGCTCCGGCTTCGGCCCCAGCGTAGCGCGCGGAGGTGGGACACGGCGCGCAGGCGGGAGGCTCCGGCGCCGAGCGGCCGCTGGGGGATGACCCATTTGACCCCGCCGGCGGGCTGGGCGGGCTGGCAGGCGAGGACTTCCCGCCGCGCCCCTAACCCGGGGACGCGCCTCGCCGAGCCCTGACGGCCCTGAAGAAGGCGCGCCTGGGCCCGCCGGCCGCAGGGGCATGGCCTCGTTGACCCCTTTGGGGTGCGACCCAAAGGACCGGCTGGAAGCCAGGCCACGTGGGGCTTGTCCGGGCAGGACACGGGAAAGCTGGGACCGGACTTCCAGAGTGACTGCGAGCTCGCGGGTCCCGGGAGGACCAGCGGACCGAGAGGCAAACTTCCTCCCGGGCCGGGTCGAGCCAGTTCCGCCGCCCGTGGGAGACGCCCCTCGCCGGCTGAGGTCCCGCCGCCAGGCTGCGCGGCCTCCAGGAGTGCATTTGTTCATTTGTTTTCAAACATTCTTTTCTCATTCATTCGTTCCCCCAGCTTTCGGGGCTCAGCCTGCGGTGCCAGGCTCCGGGCTGCCCTGGAGCAGCGTTTGCTGCCCGCGGGCCCCGAGCTCCTGGCCGGCCTGGAGGACAAAGGGGGTGCGGCGGGGCCGCAGGTGGGGAAAGGTCAGGAGACCCCGCGATCCCCAGCGGGCAGCGGCCTCCGGCCACAGCGCCCCGCCCGCCCGGCACACAGTAGGTGCTGCACACAGTAGGAGGAGCACGCCAACCTGCACGGGGCCTCCGCCTCCCACCTCGGGAAAGTTCTGGTCCCCCGCCCCGCCCCCGTCTGGACAGTCCTTCCTGCAGCTTGTTTTAATCACCTTTGGAGTTAAAAGTCAATATTTAATTAACCAGGAATCACATTCAGCCTGCATTGAGACTGGGCTCTGGCTCCTCTGTGCGTGGCGGGACCGCCCCCTCGGCCCTCAGTCTGTCCCTGCCTCCTTTCCCCGTTGCCCCCCTTGGGGCAGAGCAGGGGGCTGCTCTGGGGCGGGTCCTGGGGGCGGCTTTCCCTGGGGGCCCCTGGCTGTAGTTACAGGGAAGGGGATCCCTCACTGTGGCTGCACCTCCCCTCACAGACCCCCCCAGGGTCCGAATCGGATGAGAGCGCTCCCTAAAGGCAGAGGCGGGTGGGGGGTGTCCCTGGGCACTGTGGCCCCTCCCTGCAGACCCGGGCGTGGTTCAGTGGTTGTGGAGCAGCTCCCAGGGCCCTGGTGCAGGCTGCTTCTGCCTCGGCCAAGTTCACAGCCGTGAGGTCCCCGTGTTGGCATCAGCGCTGTGGCTGGGGCTCAGCGTGGGTTTGGGGTTTGGGCTTTGTGTGTCTTAGGTTTTCCATTTGAATTTACGGCTTTTTCAGAAACCTTGATAACATGTGAAGTTTTGAAACTTAAGCGTTGGACAGCGAGTTGGTTGTCAAAAGCGAGGGCTTAGAGGAGGACGTGCAGCCCCACGGGGCTCGTGGCGGAGCTGTGTGTGCCCCCCCCCCCCGAGAGTTCCCCTGCACGGCACCTCCGGTCTGTGGATGTGCAGCCCCCTGCCCCAGGGTTGGGGGCCCATCTGTTGCCGTGGGAATACCACTGCCTTGCCCCTCGCCTGCATCTGGGCGAGTCCTCTGCTTGGACCTGCCTCAAGGGGGCAGCTCTGGCCTCCTAACAGCCAGCCCAGGAGTCGTGGCCAGCTCAGCTCGGCCAGGTGTGGGCCATTATCTCTTCTCCGACTTTGCGGCTGGGAAGGAGACCAGAGCCCTGTCCAGGACTGGTCCTGTGTAGCGGGTGGAGGAGGCAGGGGGCCCTCCATGCTAACCAGCCCTGGCCTGGCCCCGGGCAGCCCCAAGATGACAGGCGTTGGTGGACCCAGCTCTGCGGCGGGCCCTGTCCATAGTGACTTAGTGTACGCAGAGCGCCATGGGGTCGGTACGGTGTTAGAGGACGCTGCTGGGGGCGGGGCCTCGGAACCCCTGGGGTCTCCTCTCCTGGGCTTCGGCCCCTCCAAGTGAGGAGACCGCGGAGCACGCAAAGGAGCCGCCTCCCGGACTCTGCCCTCTCCGGCACCCCCACTGGCAGAGAAGCTCGGCTCGGAGTTGGGGGTTTTTTTGCCCTGAGAAAAACATGCGGTTGCCTGGCCCCTTTGCCATCCGCCTGCAAGAATGCACGCGCTCTGCTGACTCCTGTCACAGCGCAGAGCGAAATGTCAGCTGCAGCCGAGGCGCCGGAGCCCGCCGGAGCCCGGGTCTCTGATGAGGATTGCAGCCCTCTGCCAGCGCGGGCCAGGGCCTGGAAATTCTCCTGCAGGTGACGCCCTCTTGTGGCAGGCGGTGGAGTCGCACAGACCTGGCCCCAGAAGGGGATTCCCCCCCCCCATCCATCCCCCTCCCCCAATCCAGGGCGCACTGCTTCCGGCCTGGGCCCTGTGTGCTAACCTGTGGGCTGAGGCCGCACTGGGGCCTGGGATGGGCCCAGGTGGAGGTCTGCAGACGCCCCGGATCGGGCAGATTCAAGGCACTATCTAATTGGGAGATCATTAAGATCATTATAATTAATTGGCATCCTGATAAATGGCATGATTGCCTAATTGGGGCGGTTGCTAGGGAACCAGGCCTCACTTGGAGCCTAAGGGGGGATAGGCGCTGGGCGGGTCACAGTGGGTGTTAGGGCTGCGGCTCCAGCGGCTGCCGGGCAGGAAGCGGGAGCGCGGAACTGCAAATGGAATAGGGGTGAGGGAGGGGCGTGTTCCTGGAAGGATGTGCAGCAATCAGGGTCCTCTCTCCTGCAAGCAACAGAGAAACATCTCAGGTCCGCTTCAGGAGGAGTGAAGACTTAGGGCCTCCGCAGGCAGAGCCACCACAGTGACTCCGGCCAGGCACAGCTGGCAGAGTTGCAGCGCTCTCTGGAGGCCCTGTTCCTCTCCATCCCTGCTCCGCCCTCCAGGGAGGGAGTGGGCGGGCTTTGGCAGCCGTGGGCACAGTGGTTAGGAAAGCCAGACTGCCTGGCCCCCTGCCCAGCAGTGAGATGGAGGTGGGTGACCTAACCTCTCTGCCTCGATGTTCTCATCTGGCAAGTGGGCATGATCACAGCACCTGTCGCCTGTGTACGGCTGAAATGAGCTCATCGGTGTCGAGCGCTTAGCGTGGCGTCTGGCACCCCCAGCTCTGGGTCAACACGGGCTGTTCTCAGCGTGGAGGAGCCCCTGGCCCCTCGGGCTCAGCCCAGAAGGAGAGAGCAGGCTGGGAGCGTGAAGTGGAAGGCGGGCCTGGCTGCTCTGCCCGTGCGCGGGCTGCTGGTGTGCGTGGTGGTGGCCAGTGGGCCTCGCTGCGTTTTGGCCGAGGTGGACTCCATGGAAACATGCCCCGCCTCCCGGAGCCCGCCTCGTCTGCTGGCGTCCGCAGGGTGCAGCCTGGCCTTGAGCCTGGGCTTTCTGGGGGCCAGGGATGGCCTTTGCCCAGCCCTCCGCCGGGAGAACCGTCTGGAAGCATTTCCTGAGAGGTGCACAGTCCAGACCCTGCTGAACGGAGCTCTGAGGGGGAGGGGGGCTGGCACCGGGACGACCAGTGCACGTGTGCTTGAGCGAGAGGGCCCTGGGCGTGGGCATCTTCCGGCCGGAACCCTGGAGAATGTTCTAGGCCCTGGCCAGCTGCTGGGCACCTTCACAGGACGGCCCCTTGCTCGGTGTCTAATGAGCACCTGCTGAGTGGCAGGCCATGTGCGAGGGGCGGGGACAAGTGAGAGAGACCTGGACGTGTGGGGCTGGCACTTCAGAGCGTGGACAGCAGGGGACCCCACACGGACAAGTTCATGGGCAGGCACAGAGCTCTATGACGGAAACAAGACAGTGATGGTGACTTTGGTGCATGAGGGGGCAAGGGCGGGGGCCTCTGCGCGGCCGAGGAGGCCCCTACACCTGTGCCCTTTGAGCATAGCCTGCGTTTTAGCGAGGAGCCGGCCTTGGGAAGAGCTGGCGGAACAGCACTGGGAGGCCTGGAGGTGGAGAGGAGGGGCTTGTCTGAGACCTGCTAGAGCAGGAAACAGAAGTGCGGTGGGGTGGGGGAGGCCAGGGGGCACATCAGTCATGGTGAGGCGTTTAGACCCCCTTGTAAAGGCGGCAGAAACCACCGCAGGGTTCTCAGTCCCAGGAGGACATGATTTGTGTTTGGTTGTCTAATTTTTCAAGTCTTCACCTTTTTTTTTTTTTTTTTTGACAGGCAGAGTGGACAGTGAGAGAGAGAGACAGAGAGAAAGGTCTTCCTTTGCCGTTGGTTCACCCTCCAATGGCCGCCGCGGCCGGCGCGCTGCAGCCGGCGCACCGCGCTGATCCAATGGCAGGAGCCAGGAGCCAGGTGCTTTTCCTGGTCTCCCATGGGGTGCAGGGCCCAAGCACCTGGGCCATCCTCCACTGCACTCCCTGGCCACAGCAGAGAGCTGGCCTGGAAGAGGGGCAACCGGGACAGAATCCGGCGCCCCGACCGGGACTAGAACCCGGTGTGCCGGCGCCGCTAGGCGGAGGATTAGCCTAGTGAGCCGCGGCGCCGGCCTCAAGTCTTCACCTTATGATAGGTTTTTTAAGAAGATTGGTATACTTGAAAGAGTAACACAGAGAAGGAGCGATCTTCCATCTGCTGGTTCACTCCCCACATGGCCGGCCAGGGCTGGGCCAGGCTGAAGCCAGGAGCCTGGAACTCCGGCCTGGGTGCAGGGGCCCACGCCCTCAGGCCGCCCTCTGCTGCCTCCCGAGCCGCGTTAGCTGGGCACAGGGTCAGAAGCAGAGCAGCCGGGACTCGAACCAGCGATCTGAATGCCTG